CATATGATATTCCATCCAAACGTTTATGATGCTGTAGTGTACACTTGTCAATGAGCTCATATCACAGTCATGGAATCAATGAAACAATGAGGCACCCACACTACAGCAGTTTTCCTTCTAGTCTAGTAGTCTTGAGAAGTGTAAGCCTAAAAATCATATCAGGAATTGAACTGAGACCCTTCAGATTACGTGGGTGACTCATGGACCACTCAGTCACCGCTTAAAAAAATCTAATGATCTGCAAGTCCCAACAGCCAATAACTTTGGATACAGCTTGATGGCCAACGAATGTTGTCAAAGAGCTTCTATTTTATAGGTGATCTGTTCTGATTTACACTGAATTTCAAAATAATGTCAGTCCATGAAAAATTCCCATTCGAACATCAATAGACAGAAGACCAGTAGTTCAGCGAAGAATCGCTTTTTTCGGCGGCGAATTCATTTTCATAGATATACAGTCACAAACATATATGGTTGTTTTGTCTGCATATGCGTGTACATTAAATTTGTCAAATGAAAAATACAATTTGGTAAGTTCACATAAATTGGATTTTGATATAAGAGGGTAGTAACAAAAGTGATGATTTGTCAAAAACGATTGTTAAAGAAGAGTTACGTAATAACGTGAATAGTCTGATTAAAATAGTTGTGCTCAGGGTGTACATGATAGCATAATAACATACGGAATTACGCAAGATTTTTTAAGAAATTAGAAAAAAAAGGCATAAAAACGAAAGTTTTCTAACTTCTTAAAAGCCTTGCGTAATTCCGTAAGTTATTATGTATGCTATCATGTACACCTTGAGAACAACTCTTTCATCAAACTATTCACGTTATTACGTTACTCTTCCCTAACAATCTTTTGTGACAACTCATCACTTTTGTTATTGATATATACATACAGACGTGGTCAGCGTCGGTGGCACAGTGGTTAGGACTCTCGCCGACCATGCACATGGTCCGAGGTTCGATCCTCTGCCGACGCACACCTGATATCTATGGTCGGCCTGTAAAATTTGGGCTACCGATATCCATGCTGAAAATTCCATACTTGTACCAAAAATACAGTGTGGAATCAAGCTGTAAATAAAAATCAAAAAAAAATCTTGCCCTTTGGGCTTCTGCAGATCAGCGGGCGATTGGTTAACACACCTCTCATTGTTGCCATGTACATATATCAATTCACGTATTACTGTGGAGCCAGTTACATCGGCCGTTCAATCCGCATCCGGTCAAAAAGTGTCAAAGAACACTATCCAGCGTGACTGTAGAAAATAAGTAGTGGCCGTATAAGGAGTGCAATAATCGAACATCTCATCACCACTGGTCATCTCCAACCATCTCAACAAATGCCTCCTGCTCCAAAGTAATCTACAAAGTGAAGAAAAACCTGCCAAAGGCAATACATTTCCGTCTTCTTTGCATTGCAGAAGCCCTAGCTATTCAATTTGAAAAAAAAACAGAATTATGCATACAAAAGAAAATTATTCAATCACTTCTACTCTCATGGTCACAACTCCGTTAATTTGACTTAACTTTTGTTTGTATGCTTATTTTTTTAACTACTTAAAACCCTTGGGTAATTCCGTATGCTATTTGGTTCCATGTACATCCAGAGCACAACTCTTTCATCAAACTATTCAGATTGTTACGTAACTCTTCTTTGACAACTGTTTGTGACAACTTATCACTTTGTCACTACCCTCATATATCAAAATCCAATTTATCTGAACTTACCAAATTGTATCTTTCGCTTAACGAACCATATATATTTGTGACTGTACAGCTATGAAAATGAATCCGCTGCCAAAAAAGAGACTCTTCGCTGAACTACTAGTCTTCTGTCTATTAATGTCAGTTTGTCATTAAAAAAAAAGAAACACGCTGATATTTGTTATGATGCTGGATCTTTTGTCACGAGTTCACTGCTTAACTACTGACCAGTGCCCACTTAACTGGTAAAGCAGAACACGCGAGAATCAGCGGTAAAACCAGGTTCATTTATTATGACAAAAGTGACTGTATTTATACAAAAATAAGGTAAACTGGAAATCAACCAATCCGGTTGAGAGTTGGAATTGTGCAAGCGTCCAATCAGAGAGCAGGATAATTGCATGTCAACGACTTGTTAATAACGCGATAATAACTTGACTGAGACATGATAATGACCTGATAATTGCATGTGTTTTGCCTCTTCCTAACTATATTAAATCAATATCCCAGGAAAAAGCAATTTATTTATCAATTTACTATTCACCTTAAAAATAAACATGTGAACAGCACCTCAATTTATTTACAGATGAGGCAGTTCCCCTTTTGACATTTTGGAAAGCAGCAAATCGCTAAACTACGACGTATACGTCATACCACATTTGCATCAAATCCATTCCTCCGACCAGTGTTCATAGATTTAAGTTTGTTAAATATCACAAAATACGAAATATTAACTATAGTGTTAGTTCAGTCTGTTAACCTTCCATAACGAAAGATGAACCAAAGATTAAATTGTATGTTTAGTTAATCCTGGAACTAAAATACCTGAAGAGTTTTCTTCTGGCTTCACTCTCTGGATATTACCACTTCAGTTCATTATGATGAGGAGATTCCCGAAACAATTCAAAGCCAGCGATCCCCCCCTCTCACGTCAAAGTTCCCCATCCTTGCAAAGCATAAACTTTTATGGTGACACATATATACTACTAATAAATTCGTATGAGTAGTTGGATGTCAATCATTACAAACAGTAGAACTTGCTAGCTAGACCGATGTGATTTAGACATCTGACTACCGTTTTTCCCCTTTTGGTGCTAAGATTATCGGCAGTGCTCACAGTATGACTCCACTAGGAGAACTGAACTAGTTCAAATCACTCTAAATATGGCTTACTGTTGTCTCTCGGTTGATTGGCATTGATGATATCAGGCAGATCACACGTGTCTGTATGATGCGAATATGATTTCGGCTTCGACAGGAAACCGCATAATTTACAAATAGCAAGTTTTATCCGTAGATCACGAATTCCAGACATGATAAAAAAGTATATCATTCCTGTTTTTACAAACTTCTCATAAAAGTCAGTACTAGTTCCGGAAGCTGCAGGTTTTACGGGTTTATGCAATCGGAAGGAATTTCGGTAAGCAATTCTGTTAACTGTAGAGAGAGATGTCGTCTATAAACATAGTGGAAGCTTCATAATCAAATCATTCGCTTTAGAGCAGACACACACTACGATTAAAAAAGATCTCGCTCTTATTCATCTGTCTATCTTTGACCAGATTAAAGATAAGGCTAGACTGATGTCGGCTCATGAAGAAGTCCTCAATCCAATCAAACTATTTCCCCGCAAAACTAATACTCGAAAATTAAACTGATGCTCACTAGCCACTGGCCCTATTCAGGCAATGATCTGAGATCCTAGTGTGAAGCCATAAGCAGTACGGTACCGCAGATTGAAAATTGAGGCAGCAACTAATCGCAGAAGACACTGCGAAACGGTCGCGCTATGAAGTGAATTGGCAAGAGTTAGAATTCATTAGCCATTGGATCAGGTGCCAGTGGCTCAGTGGTCTACGAGATCGCCTTGTAACCAGTGGATCCTGGGTTCAAACCTTGGGTGTGGCCGCATACTACTGAAGAGTCGCAAACTAGGACGAAACAACTCTCCAGTACTCTCAGGTGGTTTTCCAGTGGTTCTCTAACTGATGTCAGTTCATGATGAAATCCTCCATCCACTCAAACTAAATCCCTGCAAAACCAATACCCGAAGATTATCATTGCCCCGGAATAACTTTGGAAATCCTCTCTATTAAGCTTATTGAACAAAATTCAGATTTTCAACACCGACGTCAAGTCATTCAATCCTTCTATATGGGTCAGGAACTGAGCTAATGTGAAACGAGAAGCCTTTCCAACAGACTATGGCGGACTTTAATCAACAGTTGTCGATTAGTAACATGAAACTCTTGGAAGGAAACAACCAAGAATCCCAGAGGACGTTGAGTGAAATCACGTGCCTCGACATTGGTCGAGTAGAACTTAAATGGGGAATGACGAGTTCGGTGTTGGTCCGAGAGCAACAGGGTGGGGGGAGATGAGAGACTATGGACAATTATGGGGACAGCTAAAGATGGATTCGTATGTTCTACCCGAAATTCAAAGGATTATCAAGCCTACTGTTTCAACATATCATAGGCCAAATTCCGTATCATATTACCGACATAATATATAACGAGTTGATCACGGATTGATATCAGTTAGAGAACCATTGAAAACCAGGGAGTACTGGACAGCTGCTGTTTCACCCTAGTTTGGGAATCATCGGCAGTACGCACCCACTGGGTTTCGAACCCAGGACCTTCCGGTTACAAGGCAAGCTCGCTAGTGACTTGCTACAGGTTGGAGTTTCCTGAGTTCTAGTGAGAAGTCGTGACCAGTGAGGTCCAATTAGATGTCACGTGTGTGGATGGATGTCCCACCAACGACAATGGTTAGGGTCGCGCTAAATCACGAATTGGTAGAAGTTAGAATTGACGAGCCATTGAATCGGGTTCCAGTGGCTTAATGGTATACGAGCTTGCCTTGTAACCGGAAAGTCCTGGGTTCGAACCCTGGCAGTGGGTGCGTACTACCGATGATTCCCAAACTAGGGTGAAACAGCAGCTGTCCAGTACTCCCTGGTTTTCAATGGTTCTCTAACTGATATCAATCCGTGATCAACTCGTAAAACATAACTAATCCTTACAAACCAAACTATAGAAAGATAATATATAACTTTCAACAAAATAGAAAGATGTTCAGGATAGTACCAAATGACCGAATCACATTAGGAATTTGAACTTCATCAGTGAGTGATGAAGTTATTATTTTAAACAACACTGATAATGCATCAATACTTGGAGTCAAGATACATCAACACTAGCTAAGTAATCTAATTCAATATCATAACAATACCTTCAATAAAACATGAATACATTACACTTAACAGTACTCATAAATCATACCTTCATCTGATTGAACTGTAGCAGAGAAGATGGTGAATAAACTGAGAAAGACAATCAAATTGATGAGTTTCATAGCTGAACGTTATCTGAGTGGATGTAAACCAGAAACTGTAGACTATGTTTTGGCTAATTCTTCATTTATTTATATATATAATAAGGTACCAAAGTTTGAAGAATGTACTTCAAATACTAGTATTTTTTCTAAAATTATAAGTAGTCTGTTAATACTTTGTTAGTACAATGACAATATATGAAACTTCTATTGTACACTTTTTCTAAACTAACAAATAAGCATGATAAGTATATGTAAATAACCCCACCCAGAATGAGAAATTTCATTCTTGATGCATTTTTGTTTGTTTGTTTGTTTGTTTGTTTTAATTGGATTGTTACTTAATGAATTGTACTTGTCTGGTGTTTAGCTAAGTGTTCAACTACCACTTGAATATTTTTTTGAGAATTAAGAGTCTATCTAAGAAGATGGAAATAAATTGGCAGTAATGCTCTGAATTTAATGCTCAGTACGTCGTAGCGTTAGGCAGGAAGGATGTGGGGGAGAAATTATTGGAAATCATGGAATAATTTGAATATTCGCATAATTTATTCAGAACCGAAAAATAGTTTTGGTGCAAATAACTGTAGTTTCAATAAATTCCTTTTTCTCTTCAGGCTCCACAGTTATAAATCCATTAATTTTGACCATATAACAGTTAGCCAGTAGAAGCAATTAAGAATCATATCAGAAATTTGTTTTGTGGAAAAAGTATAGGAACAACGGTCAGTTGGTTTTTGAATATGCATGGTAAATGAGAACATTTAATGATATATATATATATGTCCAGAGAAGGATGACAATGAAAAGTCAATCACCAAAGAAGTAGAGCAAAGAAAACACTGAGCTGAATACTTCAAAAACTTCTAAATTGACCGCCACCTACAACGCGCCTAACCATACGAACAACAGAAGCAGAACTATCAGTAAACATCGACTCTCCGACGAAATCGGAAGTCCTGAATGCAATCAAGATGCTTAAAAGCTGGAAAAGCACCAGGACCAGATGGAATCCCAGAAGAAGCATTGAAAATGGACCCAGAGACAACAGCAGACTTGATGATGCCACTGCTGGAGAAGGTGTGGAAAGAGGGCAAAGTACCCGAGGATTGGAAGAGAGGATACTTATTCAAACTACCAAAGAAACGAGACTTAAGTCAATGCAAAAACTGGCACGGAATTTTGCTCCTGTCCATCTCAAGCAAAATACTAGGCCGCATCATCCTGAAGAGAATCAAACACGCCGATCTGGATGAAAAACTTCGACTGGAACAAGCTGGAATCAGGGGAAACAAGTCATGTATTGATCGAATCGCCACACTTTGGATAATCACTGAACGAAGATTGGATTGGCAGTCACCTCTCTATCTCAACTTTATCGACTTTGAAAAGGCCTACAGCAGAGACCGTCGATAGAGAGGTGATTTGGCAGCTACTTCGCTACTACGGGGTACCATCGATAATAATAGACCTCAACCAACAGTTATACGACAGTACTGCGTGCCAAGTAATCCACAATGGAAAACTTACGGGATCCTTCGAACTAAGGACAGGAATAAGAAAAGGTTGCCTACTATCTCCAATGATTGTTCTAACCGCGGTAGACTTAATAACGCTACAGAAAGATGGCGGGAAATGAGGAGACAGGCATGAAATGGACCCATACAAAAAATTTGCAGGATCTGGATTTGGCCAATGATATGTGTCTGATTTCACACAAACTGGAAGATGTGCAAGTGAGAAGTAACAAGTTGGCAGAAGAAGCATCAAAGTTGGGCTTTCAGGTGAACATAGAGACAATAGAGGTGACGAATATTCCTGGCCAACAGCAATAGCAACAAAAAAGGTAACAATCAGCATAAATGGGAGGAACCTGAAACAAACAACCTCCTTTACCTACCTGGGAAGCATCGTTTCAACTACAGGCGGACGGAACTGACGAGGATATCAAAGCCAGGATCGGAAAAGCAAGACAAGCTTCCATTACTCTCAAGTCTGTGTGGAGGTCAACTGTCAGGGCGCAGCATGAAAAATAAGATCCGTATTTTCAACTCCAATGTGAAATCAGTCAGTGCTACTATACAGATGGATCAGAGACTTGGCCAGTGCGTCATAAAGAGCATCTCAAACAAACTACAGACCTTCGTCATTAGCTGTCTTCTCTCAATACTACTCAAGATCAGATGGCCGGTCAGAAAAGATTAGCAACATGGATCTCTGGCAATGAGCGAACCAACTCAGCAGGAACCGATTGTGAAACAAATAGGCAGGAAGAAATGCAGGTGGATTGGTCATACTTTAAGGAAACCATCAAGTGACATCACTAAACAAGCCATCGCTCGAGTGGAACCCAAAAGGGAAGTGGCAAGTTGGTCATCAGTGCAAGGGTGACTTGGAGTAGGTTATGTGAAGAGGAGATGAAAGCGTGTGGGCAGACTTGGAGAGGGGTGAAAATGTTGGCAGAAAGCCGAATGCGATGGAGACGTGTTTTCGGAGCCCTGTTACTCTAGGAATTAAATGAAATCATAATAATAATATATACATGATTCGAGGGTGAGTGCAAACAGTGGTGTGTAAGACAACATGAATACTAAAGAAAATTAATCAACCAACGAATGGGGTGAATTAGACATAAGTTCAAGTTTGAAAGTAAAGATTATAATAATGTTCTATAGTTGGTTGGTAAGGATTAGTTTTGTTTTTACGAGTTGATCACGGGTAGATATCATAAGTTGGAGAACCATTCAAAACCAACCTGGGAGTACTAGACAGCTGTCTCGTTATCCTAGTTTGGGAATCATTGGCAGCAAGCACCTACACCATGCGGGGTTCAAACTCAGGACCTTCCTGTTAGAAGACAACCTCGTATACTATTCAGCCATTCGGAACAGACTCTTTACAAACCAACTATAGAAAACTAAAGTGATGCTCCCTAGTGACTTCCTGGACACCAGTGAGGTGCAACCAGTCAATTGTCAGGATGAAGTTGCCACCGATGACAATGGATGGTGGTCGCCCTATAATCACGAATAGATAAAAGTTAAAAATCATCGGCCATTGAATAGGGTCCCAGTGGCTGATTGGTACACGAGCTTGCCTTGTAACGAACTTTCTGGTGTCGGTGCGTACTGTCGATGATATCCAAACTAGGATAACGAAACAGCCGTTCAGTAATCCTTGGTTGATTTTCAATGGTTCTCTAGCTGATGCCGATCCGTAACAATAATAATGAAGTTAGTGAACAGGATTCAGATTTACTAACTCACTCAGGGACAAGCCGTGTAGGTTAAAGGACCCAGTTAACCGAATTAGTCAAAATAATATAATTCAGAAAATACCTTGCAATGACTTTAACGAAATCAACTACAAAGGTCAAATTAGTAGATCGGGTTTGGTTATATTGTCTGTCAGAAAATAAGGTCTTAGCTAAGGTGAGAATGATTGACCCCACACACGAAGATAAGTAATTTAGAAAAAACGTTAGCAGTTGCACTGAACTAAATGCATTAACACACAACCACACAATCTGGTGGGTAGGAAAGAGTAATATAGGTAGGTGAAGAGGGAAAGTTAATATCAGTTAAAAAGTTTGAGCATTGTGGATTAGATCAAATAAAGTATAATTATATTTTAATAGTTTACACACAATGATAAGTTTTGTTGTTGGTAATATTTCGAGCAAAATTACTGCCCGTGTTCACACCACTGTTGGAATTGTTTTATTCACACACATTTATGATTTGTACTCATATATATAGTTCATTATTATCATTTTTTTGCTCATTCATGTTTTGTGTGTGCATTTCTGTGTTCAGAATTATACTCCACATTCATTCATGTGTTTGTATTTAGAATTATATTCCAAGTTGTTGATAGTTGTACTGAGTCACCCTTGTTACATGTATCCGGTGTGACTTTAATGAATATCGACTCTGTTATGAGTCTTTCTTTCTATTTGTTCATATTTGTTTTTAGAATACACACATTGTCCCAATCAATATTGTGGTTTTTGTCCCATGCATGTACCGTATTTTTGGTACAAGTGTGAAATTTTCAGCGTGGATATCGGTAACCCAAAATTCGCAGGTCAACCATAGACATCAGGTGCGCGTCGGCGTGGGCTCGAACCCCGGACCATGTGCATGGTCGGCGAGAGTCCTAACCACTGTGCCACCGACGTTTGCCCCACATATTTAGTTGGACAGTCAACACAAGATATTTTATAAATCAAATTGTTTTTATCCATCATTTTTATGGGATCTTTCAGTTGATTTATTTTATTTTTGATTAGATTCGTCGGTTTAAAGGTTGTTTGAATGCCGATATTTTTGAGGTTTCTTTGTATTACCTCTGATGTACCATTTTTGTATGGTATTGCGACTGTTTTTTCCATTCTTCCTTCTTGTTATTCTCCGATTTTACCATCTTTTTTCTCTTTTTTATATTATCTATTATAAATTCTCTAGGGTAGTTGTTTTCGAGTAGCATTTTGAATAGGACTTTACGCTGGTCCTCTGGTGCTGTTTTAAGTCTATGTATTCTATCTGCAAGACCTTGTATTAATCCTCGTGTTACCGTGAGTGGATGAGCTGAGTGATAATCAAGGAATCTTTCAGAATGTGTGGCTTTTCTATATATCGTTGTTTTTATGCTACCATCTGTCATTCTTTGTAGTTTGCAATCTAACATGGGCAGTTCTTTAATTTCATTCTCTAATTCCATAGTGAATTTTATTGAGTCGACGTGTCTGTTTATGTGTGAGAAAAGTTTCTCAGTATCGTTTTTTTTCACTATTACTAGTGTGTCGTCTACATATCTCCACCAACATTTTAGTGATGATCTGAATGGTTTAAGGGCATTCTACTCCCAATAATCCATGAATATGTCAGCTATAATTGGTGAGATAGGCGATCCCATAGCTACTCCCTCATTTTGTTGGTATATTTTTCCTTCGAATGTGAAATATGTTGTTGTCAGACAGAATTCTACCCCTTTTATTATTTCTTCTACGGATAACTGTGTTCTGTCTTTCAGGCCATTATCTTCATTTAGTTTCTCTTTCAGTGCAATCGTAGCCATTTGAAGGGGTATTTTCGTATAAAGACTGTTTACATCAAAGCTAACTAGTATTTCTTCCTCCTCTATTTTAGTGGTTTTTATTCACCTCACTAATTCAAATGAATCTACTATTCTAGCTTT